CTGATCTCCCCTTAGAGAGCCGACTGTTCCATCATCCCTCTCAAATTTGAACAGCATAAGAGAGGGAATAATGACAGCTTTAGAGTTGTTCAGGGTGGGTCGTACCAAGATCATGTTATAGGCCGAGAGTTCTTCTACAACTAAGAACCGAAGCACAATGTGGCGGCCCTCCCCCTTCTCACCCAGACGGATGGGTAGATCCACCCGTCCCACTGGGTGCACAACACTTCCTCCAAACCCTACTAAAGGATGAGATACCGGGTGTATGCAATCATATTTGTACTTGAGCTTTGCCAAGCACTTGTTGCTGATGAGATCAGAGGAACTTCCGGTATCTATGAGGATCCGGCCAACTCTTTGGTTGGCCACTTTACATTCAATGACAATGGGGTCATCATGCGGCCCCCTAACACCTCCCAGATCCTCTTCTATGATGACAATTTCTGGGAATGAACTCTTGGCGATCCGTCCTTGGTGAACGGAATTAACATCTAACCGCCTGATGTTGTCTTTGTTGCCCCTGATAGTGGGGCCGCCTCCTGAGAAGTCGCCTACTATAGTGTAGACAGTAGCGTCGTCAGTATCTGAACTGTCGACCGGTCAATGATTCTTCTTGGCCGACTGCTTTTGTTTTGGAGGAGCCTTCCCCTTGGACTTCTTGACATAGGAGTCAAGATCACCTTTTTCAGCCAGGCGGTCTAGGTAGCGCATGAGACTAATACACTCATTGGTTTCATGACCAAAGTCCTCATGAAAATTACAGAATTTCTTTAGGTTCCAATTACTCACAGAACCTTTCATGGGGACCGGCTTCTCAATGGTCATCCGGCCTTGGATTTCGTTGAGGATAGATTGGCTATCCTTATTGAACTCATACTTCGAGGAGTATGGTTTAAACTCTTTTTTCTTTTTCTAGGACGGCTGATCAGAGGAGTCGGTCGCCCAGACTTCTTTTCTCTTCTTCTCATCTTTATTGGCCGACTGCTTTGGTCGGCTCTCTTTTTTGTTGAACTTTCTTCCATCCGACTGCTTCCCAGTATTACACAGGTCAGTCGCCTGTATGTAGGCTTCCGCCTCAATTAATGCTTCTTGGAGAGTAGCGACTCTCTTTCGGACCAGGTCAAACTTGAAGGTCGACCCATCCTTTAGACCTCTGAAGAAGTCAGTGTAGGCTACCTCATCCGGCAACCCTTGTATCTGGATTCTCATCAGGTTAAACCGCCTGATGTAGGAACGAAGTCCTTCCTTTTCTCCCTGCTGTATAGTCCCTAGGTCAAGGGTCGTCTTCTTAGCAGGGATATTCATGGCGAAGTTGGAGGTGAACAAGTAGGCGAGGGTCTTGAAACTATTCACACAACCAGTCGGTAGGTTGTCGAACCACTGTTGTGCAATGCCCTTCAAAGTAGCTGGGAAGCACTTGCACCATGTAGGATCATCCAACCCTTGGAGGTACATAAGGTTGGTGAACGCCATCAGGTGATCCTCTGGGTTAGTAGTGCCATCATAGGCGCCTACTAATACATTCTTCACTTTGGCCGGCTGGGCGGCCTTTACAATTTCCTTGGAGAAGGCGGACGGCTGTTCTCCAAGTCTTAGCAACCGTAGTTGCCCGTCCAAAGGTTGGACGTTTCTTTCCGCCTGTCCTCCAAATAGAGGAGGCTGCAAGAAAAATTGTTGTTGCGGCACGTATGGCTAGCGTGGCTCATGCGAAGCCGACTGGTCTTTATGGGATCCGGTCCGACGGGAGGTGCCGCCTGTCTGGCTCTCATAATTTGATTGTGAATACCTCATGGAGGTATTTCGCAAACTGTCTTGAAAATCTGAAGTAGAGGCCGACTCCGACAGTCGGTCGTTCTTCTTTTGCTCTAGCAACAATCGAGCATCTGAGTAAGTTTTCTTTGACCCATCCGCTTGAACATGACGAATGGGCTTTCTCTTCCCTGGTGAAGGAAAGCGATACTTTGTTAAGTCAATCACAGGCGGCTCCCACTTCCTAGAATTAGGGTGAGGAGTCGCCTCTCGACCTTGTACAGGCTTCCTCCTTCTAGACTGAGAAGGTTTTCTAGCCGACTGCTCCTTGGAGGGAGCAGACGTCTTCTTATTAATGAGATCCTGGATCTCCCCTTTGAAGCTATTCATGAAAGTCATGAGTTCACTTCTAGTGATGGGAGCAGATCCCTTGGCCGCCTGTTGATGATCAAGCGGCTAACCGGCAGGTTTACTAGATCCAACCTGGCAATCTTTTCGTTCCTTCTTTTTAGAGGAACGGGTTCGTCGAGATCGTAAGGTTCCGTCTGGGGCCGTATGAGTCTCAACCTCGACCTCATTTTCAGTATCCTGGTCACTATAGACCTGAGGGCCGTCCATAGGGCGCCTCTCGCTCTAATTCGGTACAGACTGTGATTCCATCTCGAATGTACTCTCCCCACAGACGGCGCCAAAATGTTTCGGGGTTTTTTGATGTCCTGCGGGAGAGTTACAATTCCGGGACTGGTCTCCTTGCGCCTGTACCTACAAAACAACGGAGACTCCTTGCGGTGGGAGTTCCGCCTCCGACGGTCAAGTTAGTACTTGTTTGAGGAGTAATAAGTGCGAAAAAGTAAAGGTTGAGAGATCTGGTTCCTCTAGGGGAGGAGTGATCAGTGTGTTTAGGTTCTCTAGGTGAGAGTAATTAATTGTTGAATCCCCTTTAATAAGGATTAATGAAGGTATTTATATGCCATGGGATGTGTGCCAATCCTAGGTTTAGGTCAACCTAGGGTTGATTGGGCTTCCACAAGACTTTGGGCCTAGGTGGCCGGTTTTCCCATTTGGCATGGGGGAGGCCACGTGTCGTGGCATAAGAGGTCTAAGGTGGACTAGTCAACATTTGACACGTGGCAGGCTCCAATTGGTCCATGTGGCGGACACTTGGCAGAGCCTGAATGGTCCACTTGTCAGATGATGATTGGTAGGGAAGAATCCCCTAATCAGCTGGGTTTGGATTTCCGGTGGGTGGTGGGGTTAGGTAGTCAGGGAAGGGGCTGGGGCTGGGTTTTCTTGTTTTTTTTTTATTATTTTTTTTTAATTTTTTTAAATATTTTTGGCTTTTTTTTTTTGTTAATTTTTTTTCAAAACGGACCAATTAGAAGGTGACATGTGGCAAGTGGTGGGGTCAACTAACGATCAACCAACGGGCACTGACGGTCAACTGACGGAAATGGCATATGGTGATATTGTACTAAACCTCAGTGGCATTTGGTGAATTTTGAAAAACGCGATGGCATTTGGTGAATTTTTAAGTACCTAGTGGCATTTCATGAAATTGCCGTTATTTTTATTACACTGAAATTATTTTTGTTGTACTTAATTATTTTTGCTAAATCGAAATTAGACTTACTGATTCTCTTTTATATTTGTTCATTAAGATTACCGATTTTTACTAATTAAACCTATCTTTTTACTAAATTGAACTTATTTTTGCTGAACTGAACTTAATTATTATTACCGAATTAAAATATTTTTTGTTGAATACTCCGTATAATTTTTAAAGGTGAAGAGAACTTGATCTCATTTAAGTTCACTAAAAATTAAATAATTATTACTTCGAAAAGGGCAAAAATTGAAGTTAAGAACGTCTTACTAGTTACTACATATCCTTTTGGTATGTAACTATCTCAACTATTTATAAATAAACTTTGTTATTCAGCTTCCTTCGTTTTTTAATAAGTGCTCCATTAACATTTTTTGCATTATTTAGTAGTTGACCTACTTTGACAATTGTTTGTGATGTATAAATAAGAAAAAAATAGTAGTCTTATGGATACTTGTTAGAATTATCACACAATGAATAGATTATTAAAATTTTCAATATTTGTAATTTATATTTATTATTGATAACTAAAATATGAGAAAGTCCCAAATTATCTCCTTGATAAACAAACTTTGGCCTTGTTTGGCAAATGGTTGTTGGTGGTTGGCGGTTGGTTTGTTCACTTGACTTGTTTGACCAGCTAGAATGTTTGGCTGTTTATAATGGTTTTTGAAATTGGCTATTTAAGCTAGCTGTTTATAAAAGTGTTTGGTAAATTTATTTAATTGTTAGCTGTTATTAGATAATTTGTGGGCCAACAAGTCAACAAAAAAAGCTATTCATAGCAGCTTTTTCATTTTGGGTTAAAAACCAGCTTTTTCACTAACTGAAAAGCCAATTACCAAACTTTTTTTTTTAGCTGATTGACCAAATAAAAAGCTAAAAGTCAAAAGCTGATAAAAAAAAACCACCAAAAAGTCATTTATCAAACATGACCTTTGTTTATCAAGTGGCAAAATTGTAAATAAATCAATAATTTGTCTAGTCATCATGACATTTTGGTAAATAAATCAAAATTTATAGGACTCATATATGACAAAAAGTTGTTGATTTATTTACATTTTTGCCATTTGATATTGTTTATCAAAAAGATAAACTTGTATTTTCTCCTAAAATATTATTGGTCAAAAATTTATATCAGCATATGTGTGGAGGAGAAATGGAGCAATTATTAAGACCCCAATTCCATTTAGCATTGTAGCCCATGATTTAGCAACTACAGCCAGAAGATTGTTGTTTGTTATTGGTTGTGAGGAAAGCCAGAAGATTGGCCTTTCTGACTCCGATCCTCTTGCTTACTTGTTGTCGATTTTTTTAAAAAATAAAAATAAAAATAAAAATAAATGAAGGACTAGACTGTATATTATAATGCTCCTATGTGTGCTCATCAAATTTATTGTTTAAACTTAATTCCTGTACCTTTTTGACCATATTTAAAAACATCAATGTTTAATTTCTTAGGACCTTTACTACCAAATCCTCATATAAGAACAATCAGTCTTAAAAGGAGTATGCAATTTCTTAATAGTAAAACTAGTTATTAACAACTTAACATTATTAATAAGAAAAATTTATCATTATTACGTATACAATTTGATCTCTTATTCATTCTTAAACGTGTATTTGTTTTGAACAATTCATGTTGTTGTTGACCTAATCAATTAATACAGTTGATAGCTGCCTATGGCAATACATGTCAATTCACTTCAGGTACTCAAGAGGGAGGTGAATTAAATTAGCAGTCATCACATTTTTTTTTTTTTTTTTTGAATTTTATAAAGCTTCGTGAAAATGTGATAAAGTACACATTGTATGTCAGCTTAAATTACTTAATTGATCTAGTTGGAACGTCATATACTCATATGAAAGCAAAAAAAAATAAAATCCTACTGGTAATAATAAAATAAATGTACAACATTCTTATTCATTATACAGTATGTAATATAGCATATCCATCAAAAGTCGATGTAACAGGTACATGTAGCTCGCTCATATACAATAATAATCTATATGCCATGGAAGATCCACAAATAATCCTCCAAATCTTTATTTAAAATATCTAATACTAGTAATAATATAAGAAATAGTAGAATAAACAGCAACAAAAAATATATCAAAATCATGTAAAAAATGAGAAATGGAAAATCAAAATGGAAATGAAAAGAATGAATTTCCAAAAAATAAAATAAAATTAAATTAAAAAAAAAATCAAAAAATACGTTTGAGTCTAAATTTGCAGCTGCTACTACCAATTCGAATTTCAGCTTGATCAGCTAATTTATCAATACTTAAGTGACACGTAACCCTAAACCTCATTTTCATCAACTTCAACTTTCCCAACTTAATCTTCACAGGAACCTTTGCCCTTAAAACCAAGGGAATATTTCCAGTATCTCTCTGTTGTTGTTGCAATGTAGAGCTTAACCCCGAGGCATCGTTAACGGTACCGGATAACGACACGTCGAGATTGGTGGTGTTACGGTGGCCTTGGTAAAACTTAGGTAATGACCCTTGACAAAGTTGTGTGTCTTTGTACCAAGCAGTAAGACTAGACCCACCTAGGTAATAAATGCCTATGCGTTTGTTAGGGTTGTGAGCGGTTATGTTTACGACGAACGCGGCGGATATAGAGTTGTTGTTGTTAGGGGAAAATTGGGTGACTTTAAGGGTATCAATGGAATAATCAGGGATTTTAGGGCGAAATATGAGGAAGAGTATACCTATGGTAGCACCGATAGCGACGATTAGTACAAGTAGTGTACAAAATATGCAACAAAATGCACGGCAGCAACAACTTCTTTTTCTACGTTTGTATGGTGGGGGTGGTATTGGGTAGGCAGGTGGAGGGCCGGCTCGAGCTGGTAAAGGAGGGTAGTGTTCGCGACCGGTGCTATCGGACTTGAGAGTGTTGGGTGGGATCAATGGCGCGGATGATGGTGGTGGCGCTTCCACGTCCGGTGCAGGGTGGATCCTTTGATGATCGGTAGACATCTTGTTTGGGCGGTTGTTTTAAGGCTTTTTGAATCAGATGTTTTTTTGTATGGTATTGTGACTTTTGTTAAAAGAAGGAAATATAAAGGATATTATAGGAGTATAAAAAGTCAGGAATTGGGTACGTTGAAGTTTCGTTTTATTTGACTTTGAGTGGTTTAGGTGATTTAATAACGTGTCCTTATTTGTTTCTAGATATACTCTGTGTATTTTTTTTTTCTCCTTTCATATGTAAGAAACTAAGAACTTTTCACTTTTGTTATTTATTAATTGGTAATATGTCAGCTACAATGGTCAAAGATGAGGGGGAAATTATTCTTTTTATATCTAATTTTTGTCAAGTTGTCTAATTATTTTCGGATGTATTTTGTTGTTGTTTAAGGTGAAATGCATTGAATTTATGATAATTTTGATAAAATAATTGGATTGAAGATAAGAGAATATGAACAGATAAACAAATTTAGTCAAACATGTATTAAATAAATTGTGTTTTGTTGCTTGTGGTAAGGTCCATCAAAGGTTAAAACGTGTACATAATTTTAGAAAGCATGTCCTAGTCTCTATTTGGAGATTGGAGTTCTACGATTTTAGATTTGCCATTTAGTAAATTGACTAAATTCGTAAGGCATGACCTCCTAGTTATGGTTTACGCTTTCGGCTATGGTGATGGGTTAATAACTTAATACCATATATACTAATTTAGTTCCTCAGAAAGAAAAAAAAAAAAAAAAAGAAAAAAAAAGTTAAATAGGGAAGATTCCACAATTTTATTAGTACTTTAGGTTAATTTTTAGGATCAAACGATGTCTCGAGCCAATAAATTAATGATAGAACTAGTTGGGTTAACAGTGAAAATTTTACAGTAGTCGTTTGAAATATGACTATCATAATGTTTTTATGTTATATAGTTCATAATTGACATTTTTTTCAAGTAATTAAATATATTACTTTATTAATGGTATTAAATAGTTTTATCAACATTTTTTTTTATTTATCAAATTATAGTTTCATTATGTAATTTTTTTTTCTTATTTTATAGTTTTTCAAATAATATTTATTTTGTGTTGGATTAAAATTTTTAAAATTTATATTTACACGGTAGATATTATAAGACTAATTATGACCATTTTATAACGTGAAAAATAAAACCGATCATATTATATATTATTAAAATAATATAGTAGTTATTTTTCAAACGACCACTGTAAAATCATTCGGTTAACACACTATGAAAAAATATAACACAACGCACATTTGTGTCTATTGGGCTGTGGGCCTAGAAGTGGCCGTATTATTGGGAAACACGATAGTAACAAATGTGTTTTGTTGTGGTTGTAAACGAGTCGGATTAGATGCATAATAGCAGAGCATGCTAGATCGTTGTAGAATCGCTCAGAATATGTAGGATCGTACGATCTTATTTTTCACTTGGATTATTATTGGATAGTACAGTATCGGGCATAATTGTGTATGATTGGTCATGATCGTCTGATCCTACTTTTTACTTATTAAAATTAGCCTATAGCAATCCAACTTCTCTAAGCTTGAAAAATTACTATCCAACTACTTAAACTATAAAATTAGCATTTTTACAGATTAAAAATATGTACGTAGTTATGTAGCCGCCTTTTTATTATTTTCTTTTTATCAATTTTGTAGGATCTTATGATTCTATAATCCGACTTTACCAATTTGATCCTACTCCTTCATTGATCCATTGTGCACATAAATATGTGGGTGCTTGCAAGGTGTCCCAGTTGGTAATGTGGCTTATGGATGAAAGGAGAGTATGATAAGGCAAAAGAGATAGAAGTATTACTGGAACTTTTTCCTCACACTTGAACAAAGTAGAGTAAATAGTGTAATATTGACCTTTCATTTACATTGAATAGTTAGGATTGCTCAATCTCTAACTCGTTGAATTACGAATATTTCACAAATCACAACCCTATTAGCTCCAAAGCTTTATTTTATCATCATGCCTTATATGTCCTCCATTCAAAACATCAAGAGTTGAACCTTTGAAATAACCATATTCACCAATGAATCTTTGTAGGAAGATTCATTGATTTGCACATTGATTATAAAAAAAGGCAACTGAGGGTGCAGAGAGCCCATATTGCATCCACATATCAAATCCAAAGAGTTCTCATGTGAAGAAACGTGGTATAGTATATAAATCAATCAAGATCCTCAATCATAAGCTTACATTTTTGGTTGAGTTGATCCTTTAAAAAAAAAAAAAAAAAAAAAAAAATTCCTATTAAGATCTGATACCATGTAAGTATGTGTAAATTTCCTTGGTTAAGATATTCTCATCAAACAATATATATATAGGAATTACAACCTAATCTATGAGAATATATGATTAACATGAATACACAAAATATATTAACAAGATATATATGAGAATATTTATCATATTATCTATCAGCAACCAAAAGTGATAATCCGAAAGGACAACAATATTTCTCGTTACAAATCCATTAAAAGTGTAATTGTACTCTACAACAGTCGCAAACCGGACTTGACTCCGGGATGAGAGTACGAGTTTGGCCAAAGATCGAGTATAAACCTGCTTGTAATAAGCAGCATCTACTTGGTTCGAATAACACAATTATTGCAATTTTTTTACAACAAAATAGATTGAAACACATAAAATTGTGGTTAAAGCTAGTGTATTAAGAAACGAAGGTAGTAATATTTTGTGGTCAAGCCGATGAGAGAACCTAAGGGCAACAGATTCATCTACTTCATCCACTCAGAGTCACATCTCCCACATTAAAATCGACAACCTCGGCCACTACCTTCTGTGCTTATGGGCAGCTATAAACATACTTGGCTCCATAAGGAGGATAGAGAGAATGTAGCAGAAGGCTTGGCAGCAACTTCTTCTTCGCTTGACAGGTAGTGGTACTGAGTAAGATGATGGGAGAGTTCGAGTTGGAAAGGCAGGTAGTAATCATCGCTGTTACCGTCCAATATGACAGCGTAAGGTGGGACTTCAACGTCTGAAGATGCGTATATTTTCTGATGATCAATAGTCATTTTTTGTGTGATTTTGCCAAATTTGGATGGTGTTTTGTATGGTTTTGGTGGAAGATTTAGAGAGATTTTGTATTCAAACCTTCATAATGTTTGACTTGGTAAGATCTTTGGAATTTATAAACATCTTTCTTAGTCATGTCGAATAACATCGCTTCATCAGTTTTTTTTTTTTTCTGTTGAAACAAGGTTACTTTTGTTTATAATGAAAAAGATATTGCATTTATTTGTCTTGTAACCTGATTCAACTAACACGAGACTTAATCTTATAAACAAAATTAACTCATTATTTTTGAAACAAGGTTCTTCGTAAACATCATCGCAAAGGCCTATCACAAGACTTATTCTTATAATTCAAAGCCTTTAGCCTTCATCATCCTTGCATTATGATTGCAGGGGAGAGTGATAGAGAATAATAGTTCTATAAATGACGAAAAGCCAACTTATTCAAAAAGCGTGTATATATTTCTCATCTGGAAGGTAATATCATGTTCCACGCTACACAATCATGCCTATAGAAAATCTGGCCTTCTAAGCAGCTTGAAAGAACTTCTAGGTTCTAACAAAATACTGTATGTAGAATAATAAAAATATACAGTACTTCACATCAACAGGAATACTCAAAATCCAGAAATAGTTTACACACTATAACCAGAAATAGTTTTCAAGGTTAATTATATATCTGACGTTTGTGTCATTACGTATTTGTGTGTTATTTTTCGTCTGTTTTCTTAATTTCTGAGGTGCGTATCACCTATGTTTAGTCCACCCTATTTAATTTTTTTTTTTTCGAAAGTCCACCCTATTTAATTACCTTATTACTTAACTCATGCTTGTATTAGATTTGAAAAAAAAAAAATAGTCTAGATCAAATTATAAATAAAAAAAAAACATTTTTTTTAAAAGTAAAATTAATTCATTAACAGAATAGTCCTACAACATCTACAATATAAATCAAAACTAGCAAATACAATAAAAATTGAATCAAATAATATTCTAATTGGAAAAACTAAACTTTATCATTTTATTATATGTGATTTTTAATGCTAATAGATATCTTTAAATTTTTTTTGAATAGTAAATATCTTTAGTTCTGTGATGAAAAACAATTATGAAAATTACATTAATGAAAATACAAATCTTTCAAGACCTCATTTGATAATTTTTTCATTATGAATCAGCTTATATGTAAAGTCAAAGCTTGGTCAAATTACGCAATCAGATTAGATCAAATCAGAAAATTTAAGTTTTTAAATATATATAAAGAAAAAAAAAGTTTCGCATTGATCTCTATTAGGATTTGTTACTGACCTGTGTGGGATTTTTTTTCTTAAAACAGTAAGTTCTTTGTTTAATCTATTAAACTATCACGTATAGGAAGTTATCTTGTTTGTCCTACGAAAATCAACAACATAAATCTCGAACTCTCGAAGCCTTTGATGAAATGGTGGAGAAGGTGGTGTCCAAGATCTCTTCCTCGAAGATTAGCATGATCTCTTCAAGAAACTTTAGCATGATCTCCAAGATTTCGTTCCACTTCACATTCTCAGTCTTCCTAGTGCCAAAAGGTGTAACAAAGAAAATCTCGTCTCATTGTTAGAGATACTCATATATTGGAGGAAGAAGAGTTCATTACAGTTACCAAAACAAGGGGGTTGGGACTGAAGAATTTGGAGCCCTCAATGAGGTGCTGATTTAAAAACAGGCTTGAGGCTTCATATAATAATGAGTTAATGACCTAGCTAGTAAAGCCGCCTGAGGAAGAAATTCTAGATTGCCAATCAGAAGAGCCCGAGGTTGATTAATTCTAACTAGACCTATTCAACGGGCTGGGCCGCGCTTTATATGAAATGGATTGGGCCAGGCCCGGCCAAGTATAATTCAAAATGGGCCGAGCTTGTCCATGGGCCATTAAGCCTAGCCCATTCAAAATCTATAAACAAACTACAACAATCCATAAAGAAAGAAGGTAAGCACCTGATCACAAGATTTTAATAGAGGGCGGGTTTGCATTGAATGCAGGATCTAGGACGATAAAAGTACTTGGAAAGTTAGAATAGAAATTTCATGACATTCAGGTCTCAAGGAATTTACAAGCAGAAATTATACAGTTGAGTTAGCATACCAAAGCAAATGCATAAGAAATTCTTATCTAAAATAAAATCTATAAGCAAGGAAATTTACATAGTAATGTGACACTATGTTTCAAAGAAACCCTGGCAACAAGATATCCCACAATCATGTAAGAAATTATGCAGCTCTGTAATAATATAATTTAATACGAACATGATCGAGTTTGGTCAAGATATCAAGCACAAACTCCGCACTATCTGTAGTTGAAAGTCTGAATCAATTAACTTAGACTTATCACAATCAACCAAACTAGAAAGTAGCACTTCAATTCAGTATAAACTAGAAAGATGCCCTTAAGTAAGAATTACATACTACTCACACAATTTTAATACTGCAACTTGAGATTGGTGAGTTTGGACATCCAATTCGGCACTGATTCCAGTTTCATGCAACCCCAAATATTAAGGGATTGGAGGGCAGTCAAGTGGCTTATCCAATCGGGCAGTTCTACCATGTCAGAGACCAAAGAGAACCTCTAACTCCTCCAAGGCACCCGAGACAGAGTATAATTTCTTGATTGACAGGTTTAGTAAAAATAATCAAACCTTATAAAACATCAATTGGACATCCAATACGATCAAATGACCAAACCTGTGACTCTGTGTTCATTTTCACTAAAATTATATCCTTTATCAGTTTTATCGCCTTTGTGCTAGATAAATTTGAAAATCTATCACTAAATTTTAACATAAATTAATCCAAGATAGATGATAGAAATTAAAAAAAAAAAAACAGAGAATATAAGGCATTTGGTCTTTAACTAATCACTCTATTGATGAAATTAATTAATCAATAACAGGAGGGATATGTACACATACATATCAAAGGAATAAAATTATATGTGTACATCAAACAAGAATTTCGCCATACAGTCAAATCATTAAGCACATTTGACATCTGATAACATGTTTCCTCATAGACAACACACCCTTGTTACTGCCAATACTAAAGGCTCGTTTTCTAGTAGTGAAAATATGTTGATATGTAATCTAGCAACTCGATTCCATCATCATGTAGTATGAATGAAGTCAGTCGTACCTTATATGTTTGCTTGAATATTAAATTGTCTTTTGGTAAATCAGAAGTAGCACGAAAAAATGTCAATCAACCACGGCCTACAATTGACATGCTTTCCGATTTTGAAAGCATTACTTGATAATGTAATAAAGCTACCCGAAAACACAACCTCACAAGTCAATGAGCTCCTTGGAAGCTTAAACAAGGACCTACAGAACTTATGTTCTACTCGTTCAGGCAAATGATGAACCAAGCAAACATTTAAGTTTTGCAAACCTGTTGCATTACCTAGAATGTACCTTAGAAACTCGAGCCAACAATACATCCTACCAAGTCCCTTTATCTCCAACGATATCGTTTTGAGCTTACTTATTAAACAACTTGGTACAACATTTGGCGCACACCAATTTCGCTCTGTTTGGTAAAGATGTTCCTTAGGGAGGATCACCCAAAGATGCTCTAAGTTGGGGAAGCATTGCAGCGAAACCAAAAAATCATTGCATTATTAAGACTAAACTCACACAAGGTTACTTTAAGACGGACTAAATGAAAAAACATGATGGGCGGATTCACCTTATTCAAGTAAGTGAATATATCCATTTGCCACTGCACCACTAAGTCAAGGGAATTGGTAACACTAGTCATTCCTTTGAAAAATTCGGAGAACCGATGAAGCTCCACATCAAGGTCTTCAAACTCTTCATATCTCATTTCACACCTCCTCAAGTCGATACACGCTTTGACTAGTGCGGTTGGATTAGTACGAAATCCATAAGGTAAAACGCAACCATATGTTACAAGGTTTGTCAATTTGGGTGCATCGATAGAAATAATCGAATAGTTATCCGGCGTTTGATATACATTATAAGGGACCAACCCTAATTCCAATGACTTTAAATTCGGGAAAAATATGTTCATCGATTGCATTGCATTTAGAGACTCCATAAAGTGTTGAGAAGACCTGAGAGTTAAATCTTCTAATAATGGAGAAGATTTACGTAAAGATCCAAACCAATGAGGCAGATAAGTAAGAGATCGTAACGAAAGCCTCTTCAAATTCGGAAGTTGAATATCAACATCTCTATATGCATCACTTTCCCTTGCAAACGGACCAAACAAATCCAAAATCACAAGAGATCGACAATTAAGCAAACATTCAGGTATCGGAAATAATATACTGCTAATGACTTGTAGCACTTTTTGACGGAAAGTATCTTGACCGTTATTATGCGAGTAGTTTAGGACCTCAAGTTTCGGGGAAGTCAGATTTTGTAGGATGTAATTGAGTTTGAATGTACTAATAGTGCAGAATTCAAGGCGAGTGACGCCAGTCCAGTGATGGCGCCAACGGTGTGATAAGACGGAGATAGAAATGGCGGATTTGATTGGAAGGCGAGAGAGGATTTCAGTGAGGATATCGTCTGGAAGTGAGCTCAATCGATCTTGCCCTCCACCCGATTCCATATTTATAATTTTGATCACTCTCTCTAAAGATTTTCTGTTTAGGTTCTTTGGCTTGCTTGTTAACTGCAAAGGTTGTTTTTGTTCGAGTCATCCGATTTAAATATTAAGATTTAAATTTTGAAGAGCGCTTTCCCTAAACAAGGTTAGGAATTCGCGTAATTCCCTAAATGCAGCCACTCTTTTATATATTCCCACTTTACCGTCCACGTCACCGGTTCAGTTGGAATTTTTTTTGACCAGTTTTTTTACAAAACCGCTACTTCAAGTAGCGATGTATTGAAGAAAACCGCTACTTGAAGTAGCGGTATACTCAATAAAAACCGCTACTTCAAGTGGCGGTTTATTAAGTGAAAACAATTCACAACAAAAACCGCTACTTGAAGTAGCGGTTTTGTTTTTAGAAACCGCTACTTGAAGTAGCGGTTTTCCCTGGACCGGAAAAAAAAAACCCGGTTTTTTTACCCAATGCTTACGTGGACTGTAGATTGGGAAAATGTAAAGAAGTGGCTGTAATTTGGGAATTGAGGTTTTTCTTGACATTATTTTGGGAAAGAGCTCAATTTTGAATGAATTCGGATAAATTTTAAAGATAAAAAAGTATTTTAGAATTTTATTCGTGATAAACTTTTTATATTTTCAATATATTTTATAAGTATCATATTTTTTAAAAATTCTTGGGTGGACCTGGTCCACAATAAATTTATTATGGACCTTATGTCCTCACGTGCTGTTCTCTGAAGAAAATAACCCGGCCCACACCTATCAAGCCCAATTATAACAAAACCCCTTCTAATCCAGTATTCCTTCGTTAAAAAAAATGAACTATATTATCTCTCCTCTGCGAACATCATCGCCGAAATTATGATGCAAATTCATCAATTGAGAAATTCTGCTGCAATTGTCTCAACAAATCGGTTTTTGAATCGGAATCAAACACAAATAACAATGAAGGTATCAATTACTCTTTATTTTGATTTTCTGCAAATATCATGAATAAAAATTGATTATGTTTTTAATTCGATTTAATTCTTCCCAAATCAATCTGTTTTTCTCTACTTAGGGCTTTTAATTATTCTAAAACGTTAATCAATTAAAACTTTCTTGATCAATTTTGGTTTCATTTGTGTATAATCTGAGGTTTAAATGATTGATGATGGTGTTAGTTACTTAGTTCTGGTAATTTTATGTAGCTTATGGAAAATTGCATAAATTACGTTGTGAGTAGAATTTTGATTTGTGTTATTTTTTGATTTATTTATTGTCCAACGTTAGCAGTGAAGTTTGGTGTGGAAAAGATGATGGGAATGATTTTAAAAAATTAAAGAAATAAAATTAGGGTTTATATGGTTTACGACTAGTTTAACCCTTTTGAAGGCATGTGAAATGGAAGTATAGAGGGATGAGGCTAGCAACATGCTTAAATAAAGGTCACTATGGCTATTATGACATTAGTGTATGAGAAAGGTTGCTATATTATTATAAGGGTCACTATACATATAGCTAGTTGATTGAGTTTCCACAATCAGCTATATAGTAGATGGCTGCCTTCAATTAACTCTCACGTGCTTAGGCTTATGACTTGGTATTATCGCTCTTTTGCTTTTGATAAAACTTATTTAGCTTCTAATATTTTGGATAGTTGGGATCACTGTAGTAGGTGGTGTTGGCTATGTACTCTTTTAGCTTCTCCATTAGTATCTTATTTTGCTCAAACATTTCTAATGTTGTTGTAATGGTTTCCATAGCTCCAACCTTTGTTGTGTTAAAAAAAAAATAAAAAAAAAAACTATATATTGCTATATGTCTCAGTTTTCAAATGATTGTTTTTCTGAAAGTTAAATACATAATGTTGTAGAACGAGTTATGAGATGTTGTTATTATTTTCAATTGTGAATGGAGTGTGGTATAATTTGTCCCACAACTTGTGATCGAGAAGAATGAGGTATATGCAAATAAAACATGTATACGTTATTCTTTTATTTAGCCGAAAATGGTCAGATTGATATCTAATGCTTTTATGTATGTTAGGTGATAAGAAGGGAACATGATAAACATTGTTCTCAGAGACATTAATGCCTTTATAATAAAGCATTGTAGGATTTGGAGAATCATATATAGTTAAAAACTCTATAAGCCTATTAGCTCAATTGGTCGAGCACTGTGTATATTTTTATTGGCACAGATGATGTAGGTTCAAGTCCTACATAGGCTAATAAGATTTAGACATATAGTGACCCATTTTAATAAATAGGTTAGTTTTGAATATAGTGACCCTTTACACGTAGTAACCCTTGTTTGAATATAGTGACTTTTTTTTTTACATGTAGTAACCCCTTATTGAATATAGTGGCTTTTTATTACATGTGGTGATTAACCCCTATTTTAATATAGTGACCTTTATTTTACTTGTAGTAATCCCTATTTGAATATAATGACCCTTTTTTTTTTTTGTTATTATTACATGTAGTATTTGAGTATAGCGACCTTTTTTTAACATGAAGTAACCCCTATTTGAATATAGTGATTTTTTATTTACATGTAGAATTTGAATATAGTGACCTTTTTTTACATGTAGTAACCCTATTTGAATCTAGTGATATTTTTTTTACATGTAGTAACTCCTATTTGAATATAGTGACCTTTTTCTAACATGTAATAATCCTATTTGAATATAGTTATTTATTTTGGAGTAATACTATTTTCATGCATGGTGATTCCTATTTAAACATAATCAAAGCATATTTACACTTATAATGACCTTTATTTAAATACAGTCATAGCTGCCCTATTTTTACATATAGTGAATCTTATTTAAACTAACATAATAACCCATATTTACACATGTACTGACCAATTTATACAGTCACTATTGTTATGATTCGAAACCTTTATTTAAATGAAGTCACCCTTTAATGATAATCAGCTTTTCATAGCCTATGCAGGATTCGAACCTACATCATTGAGCAGTTGCACAATGCTCTACCAATTGAGCTAATAGGCTTTTAAATTAAAGTGAACAATTTTCACTAATTTAAAGAAGAACAAGCTATAGCATGACAAAACTCATACAAGCTTATCAAACTAAATCTACAACTAATCAAACTAATTAAGTAAAATTAATGGATTAAACTAACCCAACTTACACTTTTGTCACTTATATATCATGCCCATAAAGCTTTTTTTTAGGGGAAAACATGGAAGCAATATTATTAAATCAACCAGAGTCTAAATCCACAAAAGCTAAAAAGCCTTGGGGAAAGAGTTTGCAAAGGATTGTTCTACATAATTAGCAGGAAACTCGCATTCACATTGCCATTTTGTCTAACATGCTTAAAAGAAAAACACTCACATTGCTCTCCTGCAAGTATAATATCATCAACGGCCATTTCGTCTCCTTGATAGCATTACAAACATTCAAGCATCACATATGAGCTTGATTTTCACATAACTCAGATTTCAAGCTAGCATTTCGAACCTCGCATTCTCGCAACCATCACATATGTGGAACAGGGTGTAAAAGTAAGATTTTACTCTGATATGTGAAATGAGCTGTATAATATTTTAGCGTCAATGCTACCCGAGAGCAACATAAAACTCTTATATAATTTGGTACACTGGAGGAATTCGGTATTAGTAGGAGGAGAGGTTGTGGAAATTAGATAATTTTGTAAGGTTTTTAATCATTCTCCATCAAGTTTAACAGCCAACAACTCCCCTTCGCTGTTCCTACCAACAACCTCAAGCCCCACACCCACACCTTCCATTAAAGCTTTATTAGAATTAATCTTGACATTGCCAGAAGCAGGAAGCAGACAACTACTACGATAATACATTCCTTCAAAAATCAAAGTCGCACCAACAACAACATTATACATCTTATACTCCCTAACAAACTTCACTTAAACCTAGACTTTTAACTCGCACCAACCACACCCTCGCCTCACTCGCCCAACTCAGCCACCACAAACACCTTCTGATAAATTTAATCAAAACCCTAATTACCTAAATCAAACAACTAATTAAAAAAAATAAAATAACGAAATTCAATTTAATTATAATTATAATTATACATGGATTGAACAAATTGAAACCCTAAATCGTTTTTAATGAACAAAAATTCAAGCAAAAAAAAAAGCCTTAAAAAGCTTACAAAGTTGAAAAATCAAGGTGAAGTCAGTGGCGGACTTGGGCTTAGACCTGGTGGGTCAAGTGACTCACCAGGCCCAAAAAAAAATTTTAAGTTAATTTTTAAAAAAAAAAAAAAAAAAAAAAAATCAGTTTTCCCAAATTCACGAATTCAGTATTTCAGTTCATGGCCTTCAATCCTTCATGCCCTAGCCAATTCGCCTCTTCCCTAATTCCCTTCAAGGCTTCAATCCTTCGCCATCATCAATCACCTATTCACCTCCATAATCGCCTCCTCCAGTCCTCCTCTTCGCAGTTCGCAACTCGCAACTTCGCAAGTAAGCATCTTCCTCACTCCTCAGTTAGTCAGTTCCTCTTCGCAGACTCGCAGTTCGTGCCTTCGACCCTTCGTCTTCCTCTTCGCATAAATTCAGGTGAGGTTAGTCTTCCTCTTCGTCTTCCTCAGTTAGTCTTCATCTAAATTTGTTTAATTGTTGATAACTTGATAACTTGATTGTCTTGATAATTGCTTGATTGCTTCGCTAATCGCTAGACGCCCAGTGGCCCTAGACGCTGCCTAGACGCCTACTGAGTACTGATTATTGTTAATTGTTAATTTTGTTATATATTGTTGTGATTTTGTGAATTGTTCAATGAAATTCTGAATGGTGAATTTGTGAAATGTTTGACACTTTAGTTCCTCTTCGTCTTCCTCAGTTCCTCTTCGCATAAATTAATTAATTAACTTAGTCTTCATCTAAATTTGTTTAATTGTTGATAATTGATATTACTTGTTAGTTATGAATTAGTAATACTAAATTTGATTCTTTGAACCCTAAATCCCTAATTGTTCAATAATCAACTCAATTGTTCAA